ATTCATTCAAGCATAATACCGCACAGTAATACACCAATAGGAGAGTGAGTCCTAATCCGATAGATAACTGTTAGATTAATGTGTTTCAATACAATGGAATGAAGACAACAGTCATCTAATTCACACCATTCTCTCGTCATCTTATGCAATTGGTTATTATCATCATTATCATCATCACCAGTCTTTGAATCAATTGTCCATTAAGGTAATGAAAGTTTTCTTTGAAGCCAACCGCCACTCACAACAATGAGCATGTCATAAAATAACCTAATACGCGCATAAAACACCGCACATAAGCGCGAATGCGTGACTAAAAGTACAACGCATGCAAATAAATACACAATACAAACAAATAGAATGCCATCTTCCTGATCCAAACTAACATCGTCTCGTCGTTTCCTAATCGAATAATGTTTTATGCAAAGATGAAAGAAGCGACAATAAAACGGCTAATGAATGAATTTAACGGGAAGTCGTCATAATTCATCATTACCGGATGATGAGTTTTTCATCAGATGATGGGTTTTCAGATCGATTCACTCGCATATCTCGTGGTTTTTTCATCAGATGGAATCCATCGTGACCAGATGCTTTCATAAATTTCACCTCCACTGAGATGTGTTAACATATTGACGGTCAAGGATGATGTGATTATATAATGTCTTGAGAAATTGAATGAGGAATGGGTTGATTAGCTTTGATGATCAATGTTTTGAAAAGTAACACGCCAAAAAATTTCATTTGGAATTTTAGTAATCTGCTCTACGATGTGCTCAAAAATTAGTATCATACAGAATAAGAAATTTCACGTGCTCTACGATGTGTTAACATATTTTCGACATTCTTCATTTCAAAGCAAGTATTTTTTGTGAACGACTTATGGGTATGCATATATCAGTTAAACGAAACGAGTTTCTACGAATACCGTAATCAACAGAAGCGAATTAGTGTGAATTATGTAAGTGAATGCTCTTACTTAAGGATTAAAGAGGCTCGGCGCACTTCTACACACAAATTGTACTTCAAAGAAAAAACACCGTCTAATGGTGTAAGGTTGCGACGAGTAGCCGAAACAATCGATCCGAAAGTAGCGATCTTTATGCGGTGTGCACGATCTTAAGCCCTTAAAAGCGAATCACGAACCCGCAGGGGTACTACTTCAACGAAGACCTAGGTTGGGAAAGGTCAACGTTTATAGAAAGTGATCAAAACGCATTCGAAATAACACGACAACTTCAATGCCACTTCAGAAGCGGTGCTTAATAGAAGTGATTTTATCAAAGTGAAGTGTTGTGTTGAGTTTGCAAATGATGGGATCATGAAAATCTAATCATTTAATATTCCCAAATTCCAATGAAATACGTAACTTTAGCAGCAGAAAATGAAATAGTTATGAGTTTAAAATCATTTTCTTAGTGTGAACACTCAAATTAGACTTCATCGGTGTTTGATTGAACGTTTCAGATACTATTACTCAACCTGGGAATGATATTTGAAAGTAATTGTCAATGAGGATACGAGGCGATAGATGAAAGAAATGTTTACAAGTGTAGGTAGCATGCATCTATATGTGCAAGGTACAGACTGAATCTTAACGATCCAAATGCGAAAGTTTTGCATTGATCTGATTAGATTGCGCATTAAAGCGATTCCGATCCGAGGAGGATTACATTTGCTAAAGATTAGCAAATTTGCATTGAAGAAATTATGATAATCAACAAATAATGCGCATTTCGTATGCGTTCTATTGAAAGCAATTGGGTGAATAAATACATATGTGCATCTTGATAAGATAACGTAATGAAGGGAGTGTATATCGAATCCCAAAATTCCAAATCCATACGAATTTTTACTTGAATTTGAGATAAAAACTCAGAATTCTTACAGAAACGAATCTGATCATTGTCCTTCATGGAATCATCACAAATGATATTTCATTACTTCAATGAATTTGGTCTTTGCGCACAAATTTTCATGCATATTCATGTATCGTGAGCCCATGAATCTATATCAGAGAATTACACTAATTAGAGAATTACACTACCTCGCTAACGAGGTCACAGATCAGACATTAACGCTTTGTTTATTACGTTAAGCTACGCTTGAATCAATGCGTCATGCTTGCAGGTAGGTTACAAATAAAATGCATACGTAGCTTATGCTCTAACGTCTAAGGTCAACACCGAAATGCGCATATAAACGCTATAAAAATTTTGATTGATGCTATATTGCTTATTGTTTCATACCATAAAGCAGACACCGCTTTATCGAGAAAACAAAACAGTCATCAGGATCATATTAATGGTTCATATGAGCAAATTTGTAGCTGAAGCAACGAATTTCTCAGGGAAGAGCTCATAATGAATATTTGTTTTCTCACGAGGAAAATGCCTCCCGTTCCAAAAAGTGCTAATATGCGAGTGATTTTTCATTGCTGTTTGATCACAGGATCAATTGTATATACGCTACACATTCAACAACAGACCTCAATGAATAGTCTATATCAGTGGTTCCCATAGGAAGGGAAATTACCCTTTTTGGGTAATTTGGAGGTGTCAAGGATAATGCCATGTTATCATAGAACGCCACTATGATCGTATTTTCCATCACGGATATGTAAATAAAATCGGTCATCCAACTGGAATGCTTTCTACATTTCAATTATAACTTTGCACAAGTTTATCAGCTTGTCAGCATAACTACAGTTCCATTACGCTATTTCTAATGAATATGTGACAATTTCATATCAGACAGTCTATCATACGTTATTACTGTATGAACAACCGCACCCAATCCTCAATCTACGCTTGACCCATTGAACGCAGACAATTTGCAGAGGTTAATAGAATAACCGTAAAATTTGGTTTGGAAATAGATATGTTCTATAGTTTCGTGTATTGCATCCTCGAACACCTGTATAACAAATGATACTAATGTACTGATTGCATAGAAACAAAACAGTTCTATTCTCACCATTCAACAGCACAACAATGCACGTGATTGTTCGTGCATTAATTGTAGTAATATTAATGACAACAATAATGACCATAATAGTAACTATAGTGAAATTGAGAGTATGATGTGAAAATGAGTTGCATATAGAGAAGAGGAAACGATTTGTATGAAACTGGAAAGGGACACTTTCATCGCTTTTCTTCGAGGGTTAACCATTGATGGAAATGAAGAAGTTATAGGATATGGCTGTAATGCACAGAGGGGAAATGACCACAGGAGACTGAATGAGAAATGGACATTAGTTAATATGTTGTGTAAACACTTCATCATTGCATTAAAAATACCATTATTATCCCTTCGGAGGAGATAACGTACGCATGCACATACACACACCTGTTCAGTCAATCAGTAACATTAAATATCAGGGAAATTCATATCAAAATCGAATGAATCCAATAAAAGAATCCTACAAGTAAACTGTTGCAATTGCCAGTTTTGTGGCCAAATTATAAACGGTATAACTTCAGCATAATTAGCACAAAATACCAGATCTTGCGGCACATATCTGATATTTGAATTCACTTCACTATTGAAGACTTTAAGTTAAATTCACGCCTTATAAATTCTGAAAATCGCTCGCATAATCTCGTTAAACGAATTGATGTGAAATGCAAGAATAACTCACTGCTCAATTTCAGCTTTCATTTTCTTCACTTCATCACTGTCGTTATTCGGTAACGAGGGATTAGCCGAAGTATCGGTGAGATCACCCATTGCATGGGGACGTCGTGGCGCCGGTCGAGGAGATAATCCATTTTGTTTCAATCTGAATCAAAAAATTCGATTAATTCATTCTGATACAACATTCACTTAAAGTCACCAAAAGGGAAATCATCTTCAATAGATTCATATTGACCACAGTTCCTACNACCCATTGCATGGGGACGTCGTGGCGCCGGTCGAGGAGATAATCCATTCTGTTTCAATCTGAATCAAAAAAAATTCGATTAATCCACTCTGATAGAACATTCATTTAAAGTCACCAAAAGGGAAATCATCTTCAATAGATTCATATTGACCACAGTTCCTACACCAAATAAATTTAAACCACATCAGAAATCACTTCCAGCTCCACCAGATCATAACTGGTACAGAAATTCGATCAAATAGTGACGTTAACCACGTATGATCGTCATATCGAAACGAAAATGCTTACTTTGCAATATTCTCTTTACATTCATTCAGATCCTTTTCCGCCTCGCTCAATTTTCCTTTCAGTTCAGATTTCTCGTCTTCAGCACTCTTCAATCGTTTTTGAATATCTTGCAATTCTTTGCTCAACCTTAAAAAAACTCATAAAGATAATCCGCCAAAACCTTTTGCATACTGTAAAAAGTACACAAAAACAATCCAAACAAAGATGATAGCAAAGATAACATTACGAAAGATAACAATTACAATACGAATAACTCTGATCCTCAATGATGAACACTATTACAAATCTTCACTCAATTATCTCGTTGAATCGAGATAACTGATGAGTTATTGCGACATCATCGGATGACGTTAACATATTTGAGCAATAAAGCAAATATAGACTTCCTGATTCTTCTATCCTGCTGATTGCTCTGATTCTAAGTCAAACAAAAATTGCGCGAAAGACAATCCAAATCTCATCCCATTTCGAGCTATCTTAGTTGTTGCGTAATCATGATAC